GTAGCGCAAATAAGGGAGGTATATAACTAAATAAGGGCCACTATAGATAGCAGGTATATAAAGGAGGTTTTAGAATAAATAATACATAAAGGAAGGAGTAAGGGGGGGGCAGGCGTGCCCCCCTTATAGAAGGGGGGGAGGGTATAAAGGGTACCGCGGCGAGGGGAGAATAACCTCGCCGGATCCGGAATAAAGGAATGGACGGCGGCGAGGGACTATAGCGATAGCATACCGAGGGCGCGTGTAACCGATACGGCACCTACTAAACTAATTAGCTAACCCCTATTAGCTATTAGCCCGGAGGTAAGATCCGGTTTTCGAATAGCGATAAAAACGGGGCCGCGGAGCGATACCGTAACGGCCACGCACGATAGACCTGCTTATATAATAAGAGCGTAGGGGTTTTTATCTATTAACGGTTTCCCCTCGAAAATTAGAGAAGGACTATTACCTAGATGGCTAGCCTAGCTTAGCTAAGCGAGAGCAGCGTAATAAATAATAATAATAATAATAATATATAATAAAGGACCTCTTAATATAGTATAGATTAAGTATTAGTATATCGGCGATAGTAATTATAAGCGATGCCTCTTTTATAAATAATTTAAATACACGAAGATCTTTACAGGGCTACCATATTAGCCTATTTAGTAAATTAGTTATATAGAAAGTAATAAGGTAAATAACGGTAATAACGTTTATAACCGAAGTAGAACTACTGGCTTTAGAGTAAGTGGCGAAAAGAATAATAGGATTAAAGCGTCTTTTTATCGAAATACGCTTTAATCCGGAATTACCTTAGGATATCTATTACGATAATACGTAAATAATACGCCTAGTAGTTAATAATAGCTTTAGGATTAAGACTAAGCTACGCTATATAAATATATAGCGCTTTTAGGTATATTAGAAAAACGTAAAAGAATTATTTAAAGTCGTGTATCTTACTATAAATTTAATATTAGCGGACTAATTAATAAACGTATTTCCACGATAAGAATTTAAGAACTTCCGAGTTTATCTTAGTATAATTAGTGTATAGAGAGGGTAAAAAGAAGTAATTAAAGTCGAAAGTCCGGCGCCCTAGGCGTACCGCGTGCTAGCGGTTTAGTTAACTTAGTAAAAAGAAGGGTATATTATCATCTTAATACTATACTACTATACTAAGCCCTAAAAGTAAATCCTAAAACCCTAAAAGATAATATCGGAGTATACTAGTAAAGTTACTAAGCCTTATTAATACTACTCTACATACTATCCTACGTAATATTTACGCTATTTCCTCTAGTAGAAGGAGTAACGATAAACTCGTTCTCCCGTATATATCTATTTAAAACCCCGCGAGCTAGGAGGTAAAATTACTACTCTAAGTAATAGCAGGAAACTAATTTAATACTCCCTTAAATTCTTCTTTATAGAAAAACTTTTTATTATCCTTATCCTTTATTAGTTTAATTATAAACTTCACTGCTTACTTAAGTTTAGCAGAAAACTACGCGAAATAGTTAGTTAGAGTATTTAAGTTTAGAAATAAAGCGATAAACACACCTTATGGTTATTATTATTAGGAGACTTTATATTTATTTGTTTAGACTATAATATAATCGAATAGGATTTTAACTAAGGAAATAAGGCTAGTAAAACTATAAGTATAGGTTAACGGTCGTCCAGCTTAATAGCGTATATATCTTCGAGCTAAGAACTAAAGCGTATAATTATAATTGTAAATCGCCTTAGATAAGAGGTAGAAACTTATTAAAGGTAGTATATATAATTTCTATCCTTATACTTTTAGTAACGGTTAGAGCGGCCAGGGACGGAATTATAGTAGTTAGATAAGCGCTACTTACTAGAATAAATACCCTTAACGTATTTAAGACAGGGGGGGTTAAAGGGCACCGGTATAAAATCTTTACCGGTATCCTTATTATTATTATTATTACCCTTAGTAGTCTTTTAAGGAGTTAGCCTAAAATAAAGTAAAGGTATCGTAGATTAATACGCCGAGATAACTTATAAAAGCACCTTTCTTAGTACCGGCCTTTCCTTTAGTCTTCTTTATACTATTAGCCGAAGCTTTCTTAGCGGCCGCGGTATGGGTAACTATAAATAGAATAGGAGGGGCCTAAAATAAAGCTATAAAGTAGCACGCGCTACCGAAAATAACTCTCCAAAACTTATTATATCGCTATTATTACTATTTTTATTACTATTATTTAAGGAAAAGATAGAAAAGGATCGTTAAAAGAAAATCGGAAACAGTACTATCCTCGGAAAATCACAAAAAAAGAGGGTATAAGAGGGAGGATCCAAAAGCTCTAAAACGCCGGTATAACGCCTTTAATGTATCTATAGAAAGCCCTATAATCACCCATTTACTACTACTACTAATAGTACTTTTCCTTTATTTATTATAATTATTATTATTATTATTATTATTATTATTATTATTATTATTATTCTTTACTATTTTATAGCTTGTATTCCTGCCTCTCAACTCGATATTAAGGGTATTATATAACCCTTTAAGGCTATTTTAAGGTTAGAAATAAGGCTAGGTTAAGGTTAGGCTAAATAATCGTTCCGCTAATTATAGTATAATAATTAAGGGGTATATTATATTCTAGCACGTGAGTCTTAATAAGGTGACCTCCTATTAATTAGAGGTGCCCTATTATTCTCGCTTGGGAAGGTGGCAGATATATTTAGAATATATATACCCGCCCTCTTTTTCTTTCTCTTTTATACATAATACAATCATATATTTCCTGAATCAATACTCCATACAAGCACTCTCCCGTGAATCCATTATAAGTACCTGATAAACCCACACGGAATCTTAATTATAAGTCAGACCACCCCCCACCCGACCACCCCCCCTAACCGCCCACCTAACCGAGACGACTTAATCTAAGAACAAATCTATTTTTATCTATAATATAGCTATTCTAGTCGGAATTCTATATATATAGATTTAAATCTAGCTTCGTAGTCCTTAGGTAATACGTTAATTAGCTTAATTAACGCCTCCCCTCTTTATCGCGCTCTTATAGTTACCTCGATAAAGGTAAACCGCTTATTTACCTTTAAAGGTATTTTTACCCTTTTTTCGGCCTTTCTAGATATGATTATACCTTTAACTAACTAAGCTAGAACTACCTCTCTACTATTAAAACGTCTTTTTGATCTAATACCTTTAATACCTTCCTAAATAGCTGCTAAGTATAGCGGGTAATAGTATAAGGGGGTTTCCGGCTAAAAGATAGCTCTCCTTATATCTCTCGAAGATCCTATAGACCCTAGGGCGTTACCTACTTATTTTAGCTAGTGCTAGCCTGCTTTAAAGGGGTTATCGGGCGTGTACGAGAATTCTTATCTAAGAGCTATAGGCTTAGAAGTGCTTTTACCCGATTAACCGGCTATTACCCTAATACCCGCTATCCCGCCTTAATATTCCTCGCGATAATAGCGTCATTTCGTGCCTTACCATAATAAGCGAGGAAATTCTGCTTCCCGATTAGCGCGCTATCCGTATAATATAATAGTTTTACAAGGTGCTTACGATAAGACGGGTGAGAGCCGGGAAGGCGTATTTCCCAGGCTAATATTGCTACCCCACATCATTGCAATACCTTAAAAGGCCCGAATATAGATAAATTAAGCGGCTAGGTAATATATAATTAATAAAGAGGTAAAGATAAGAGGAGAATATCACTCTTATAATATTTCTATAAGAACTTAACGTGGAGGTAGCTCTTATAGCTATCTAATAGTAATAGACATAATAAACCTATTATATCTACCTTTATTTTAGTATAAGCGTTAAAGACCTTTTTAAGCCACTCTATATCTATTTTATTAAAGATCTAACTACTTTTAAAGGTAATAAAGCGCTAGCTATCGTAGTTATTTAGACTTTTAGAAAACTATTATTATTAGACCGATTTTCCCTTAAAAGTAATAACTAGGGGTAAGGATTAGCCCTTAATAGAGATATACTCGATAATTAAGGTCTAGATCCGCGCGCTAGGCGTTTTAATATAAATACTCCTCCTCCCCGTATACCCTATTACTAGGCTATTTATTCCTTACCCCTTTTATATCCCCGTTTTATCTATATTATATTAAAATCGCGGTAGAATAGCGTTAATCTTCGGTTACTTAAGTAAGTTAAAGAATTCCTATAAAACTTTAGCTATAACGCTCTTAAGACGGTAGCTCTTAATTCGTTTACCTTTTATAGTCTTTAAGGAGGAATTCTAGCTGAAAGTCTAGCTATCTAGTACCTCCTTAAAGGATATATATTATTCTAAGTATATAAGATCTTTTACGCGAATTCCCTAACTTAATAATAGGAGGGCGTAAACCCTAACACGGCCTATACTAATACCTAATTAGAAAGAGATTAGTCTTAAATGAGCGTAAGCCTTTAAAACTACCTATAAGTGATTTTCTTAGGTTAAACGCCTTATAAACGGTTATAAAGGATGGCTTAAGAGATACCCTAGACGTGTAAAGCTTAGTTAACACCCGCGTCCGAATAAATATCGTGGAGCGCGAGTTATATATCACTTTCTATATATTTCAGTATTATAAAGCAGGATATATACTTTAATTAAGCAATTTTTAATATTATATTAGGATATTAACGCGTTTTTATTCCAAGTGGTGGGTTATAATAGGCAAAACCAGGTGGGCGGTTAGGGGGGGTGGTCGGGTAGGGGGTGGTCTGACTTAGAAACAAACCGTCGTCTATTGAACCTATTGGATTGTCTGGTATGGAGAACTCAAAGGGCCAAGCCGTTAGCTCTTTGGTCTTCTCATACCTGTGCGGAGTGGGGCCTATCCAGGTCAACGAACCGGCCATGTACATTTGTAATGGTTCCAACAGGTACCATAGGGAGATAGCAAACAACATAGGAGATAGGAAAACTGACAAATGCAGTGGCGGAGTTAAGGTCATTGCTTCGATACCTACCCGTGCCGCGTGCCCCCTTTTCGACACTTCCAAGTAAAGTGATTTTCCTATCCTTATTTCGTCCCTTTCTTTCCCCTCCATCTTCGGACCCCACCCTACCCCGTTTTGAGCTACCCCAACACGACCAAAGCTGTGTCGGAAAAAAAGAAAAAAAAAATCATCATGGGCGCGACGACTTTTGATATCTCGCCCGAGAAAAGGGCAACCCAACTCCAATTCTTTTATCGCCAGATCTTTGTCACACCCCCGCCAGTAACAAAGCGCGACGTGAACCTGAGCGGAAAGACAGCAATCGTCACGGGGTCCAATGTTGGGCTAGGACTGGAAGCGGCACGTCAGCTCCTTGACCTAGGATGCAAGGTTATTCTGGCCGTCCGTGACGAAGGCAAAGGCGAAAAAGCCCGCCAAACCCTCGCCCTTGGTCGAAATCTTCCATCCGGCTCGATTGAGGTGTGGAAGTTGGATCTCGGGTCTTACGACTCCATCATGTCCTTCACGGAACGCACCAAGAGCTTGAAGAATCTCGACATTGCCCTTCTCAACGCCGGTCTGTTCAAGGTCCACGAGTCGTTCGCTTCAACCGGCTACGAGGAGGATTTTCAGGTCAACTACCTGTCCAACATCCTCCTCGCCGTGTCCTTGCTACCGATCATCAAAGAGAAGAGGGTCGGAAGCGACCCCGGCCGCGTCTGCCTGGTGTCCTCCGACATGGCCGCCTGGGCCAAGTTCGAGGAACGAACGGCGACACCGCTTCTGCCGGCCTACAAACAGAAAGCGAAGAACTGGGACATGGGAGACCGCTACGCGACGACAAAGCTTCTCGGCCAACTGTTCGTGACCGAGCTGTCGAAGCATGTGCCTCCATCCGCCGTCACCGTGACTCTCGCCAACCCGGGATTCTGTGCCTCTGATCTTGGCCGAGACACCCACGGTCTCTTTCGCTGCGTCCACAAGCTCCAGTCCGCCTTGATCGGCCGGAAATGCGCTACCGGTGCTCGCACACTAGTCCACGCGGTTACTACTGTGGGCGAACCGGGACATGGACAGTACATCGAGGATGCGAAGATCCAGCCGTGAGCGACTACCCCCCCCTCATCCACCCCCTTTGCCTTCCGGCCCTTCCCTCCCCGAGTAGTGTCTGGACATTTGGACTAACGTGAAATCGCACAGCATGCCGCCTATTGTCTACGAGCCTGAAGGCCAGCGTCTCTCGAAGCAGATTTACGAGGAAACCCTGGATGAACTTTCGTTTGCTGGCATCAGGGATATTATCAATGGAATGTCAAAGCCAGAGTAACTAGCTTGGTTTCTGCGTCCCTTTCAGTACGTAATAGCGAACAATCAATTTATCCAGTCTCACACATTTCTTTACGATGGATGGCCGGTTTCGGAAATGCATTGATTTCACGTGTCAAGGCGAGGGGGGGCATTTCCGTGTCTGAATTGAGGTTGTCACTGCTGCAGCTACCATGTGTTCGATACACAGGCTCTCGCATATCGTAAATACTACCTTGGGTATTTTTGACCTGACAAATCCCTTGTAAGGAAATCTCGTTCACACTTCAAGGTGATTTGCTGATAACAGGTAGGCTAAGACTTTGCGGGGGGGCAAACGCGTTACTTCCTCGGGTACCTTATAGATACGGGAACACGACTCGTAGCTACCTTACCTACCTTCGGTAGGTACCTTAGTTGCTCCGTTAACCGAAGCTAATTGTTCATCGATCAGGATCGTCCCGGTCGCTCCACTTGCCGATTCACGTCTCTTAGTACCCCTGTTGCGGTCGCTGCCCCACCCGCCAGCTTTTGGTTCCAGCCCGTCCCACCCTTATCGGCTTATCGCCCGCGATACCCCTGTTTCCCTCCGAGTTGCCAGTCTTTTGAAACTGAGGTCACATTGCATGATGGATGGGCGGCATGACCCTTGTCGAAGGATTCCAGAACCCTGCAGGTCCATGCGGCAGGGTTCCCCAGCAGACCATTCGGCAAGCTGCCCTGCCGTAGCCGTACGTTGTAGGTTCGCTTAGGAGCCACGATGCGCCGATGCGCCCTCTGATTCTAAGCTGATAACGGCGCTGGGAGGCGGAGTTTTTCTGTGACATAAGGCGCGAATCACCACTGAACCGAGACTGAGCTGTACTGGTTTGGCTCAAACTTGTTATTTTATTATAGTTTTATTTTATTTTTTGTTCAGAATCTGCTTCCTCCTCCGAACACACGGACGACTTTTCATCATGGCTCGTAGTTGGCAGCTCTGGCTTTCGCGGCGCCCGTTGCGGCGAACCAAGACTCCCTCCGGACCTCAGATGCTTTCCCCAAATGACGCAGCGTTGTACGAGTTCTTGTACGAAAAAAATGGTCGCCTGACCGTGAAAGAGACTCACTACGCGGACAACCAGACCGTTCGTGATGGACTCTCTGGACCGCCACTGTAAGCAACAGAGCCAAACAATTTGCCATGCA